GTCCTGGAACGTGGATCTCCTGGGAAGATGGAGGGCTGATCAGATTGGCCCTACCCAGCCAGAAGCAAAGTCTGTGACCATCACTTCCTCACTGCCCCACCCTCCTTCTTCTGAGCAGAAACGATCCTCTCAGATGTCTCCAGGCTTAGCCCTGGCCTAGGGGCAGCAGCCGCTGTCATGCAGCCTTCAGAGCCTGATTATGAGGGGCACCCAGGAAGGGGGCTGTGTGGGGAGGCCAGAAAACCATGCTCACAGCCCCCCACCCCACCCCCATGTCAGGAGAGGACTGAGGGAGGCTCTTCTCTCTGTCTCACACACACACACACACACACCCACCCACCCAAATATACACATACACATCCCTGTTTTGTCTGGCAAGACTGTGAACCATAACTTGTATAATACTGCTGCCACACCAGGTCTTACCTTGATTTGGGCTCCACAAGAGAGGGCAATGGGAAGGAAACCAGGGACCATCTGATGCCACGTGACAATCTAGCAGGACACTGGAACATCCAGGGGGAACGTTAAAGATTACCCACACCTGAGCCCCGGCCCAGACCACCAAGTCAGCTGCTCTGGGCACAGGCCCAGGCAAGGCCGTTCGCAGAGCTCTCAGGTGATTCCAAGGAGCAGTCAGGGCTGAGAACCACCGCCAGGAAAAATAAAAATGACATACACAAAGGGAGAAAGGCCAGCTCGCTTCATCGGAACTGGAAATGCTGGCTGGGAGCAGAACAGGTGAGAAGGCCATTTGCAGCCCCTCCTGCCTGCGGAGCCCAGCAAAACATCAAGTGTGGCCGAGAGGGACTTCTCCAGACCCTACAGGGTGCTCCAGATTGGGGACCCCTGACATAAGAGGTGTGGAAATTGTTAGAATTTCAGGAAACTCATTCAGTGAAACCAAGTCCTCTTGTCCTGGAACTTCTTCCCAGGAGAACTTGCTAGAAGTGGAGGACTCTTTCTGAAAGCTTGAAGCTGCAAAGAGCCTGAAGAACACTGTGCCTTCATTTGTCTCCCTGTCCATAACATTTCAATTGTTCCAGCCTATTCTGCCTGACAGATTAGAAAGTTTTCAGTAGAGGGTTACTTGAATTTACACAAAGGTCAACATTTAATAATGACTCGACTTAAGGGCACGTGAACGGCTGCCGGAAGAACCCATTTCCTCGAGCTTCATTCTAACACACTGCCAGCGTGATAAGGTGGAGTGGGGTCTAGACGGACAGGGCAGGTAGCAGAGGCCCTTTCCAGCCGGGGGTTAGAGCAAAGTGGACCTGATTTGGTGACTTGGAGACATTTGGTTCCCTGAGTAATGCTGTGAGAGATTATGTGTGCAATGTTTGAGCCCTTTCAAATGATGTTGTTGATTAAAAAGGAACCCTATCTGCACACATATAACACTAGGCACATGGACCCTTCACAAAATATATTTCATCTTTGTGGAATTCACTGGGACCTGAGGAGGGGGGCACTGAGAACCCGGGGACCTCTTTGCTATTACATAGGAAGCACTTGCAGTGAGAATAGCTGTGGCATCACGGGTTTCAGGCATACCCCAAACTCCTCTCCCTGTTGGTTTTGGGTTCTCCATGCCCTGCAGGGTCTCTTGGGGTGTGTTCTGGAAAGTACACAAAGCTGGGTGCTGTCTCTTTAAATAGTAGAGGCTGAGAAGCTCTCAGGCCACCATGACATATCCCAGCATTGGACCAGCCCCTGAATAAACTGGAAAGACGCCTGGTCTGCCTTCAGTTACGGGGAGCACCACCAGGGAGCATCTCGGGAGCCTGGTTGGAAGCAGCGGGGCTGAGTCTGCCTGCTGGTCCCTCTGCTGCCCCGTGGGGAGGGCCTTGCCTTCACATCCCTTGCATTTGACTGCAAAGAAAGCTGCGTGGAGGAAGGGGTTGCACTGTTTGGCCCGGTGAGTTTTCTTGGCCTCTGGGTGGTGTGTGCTTATGCTGTACCGAGAGCTGCCTGATCCCCCAGCCCCTGCAGACCGCAAATGGAAAGGATTGCAGTGGAGACTGTGCATTTGTGGTGGAACTGACTGGAGAGTCAGAGGGTTTTTAAAGTCCTTGGTTAAGAGCTGGATATGTACTCTGGCTGGGGTGGCAAGAAGAACCATCTGAAAGCATCTAGAAACTCCAGTACGTACAGTACAAGGGAGAAAGGGGTCCAGATGCTCTGTCCCTGATGGGAAATAGCTCTGCACACACAGCTGGCAGGTGACCTCGGATTGGGAAGCAGGTTAGGGAGAAGCTTCCACCTGTAGCAGAGCCCTGGCTGGCCCTGGGTGTGGCCAAGCCTGGTTGGCACTGCCCTGGCCAGCATTTCGTCTTCCACCAGTGGGAGCCCAGCTGGGCAGTGAAAGATGGACAGGTTCACACATTCCACAGCTCATGGTGTGGTGTACCTTGGTTATTGACTACAACATTGGGTTCAAAAGAAAGGAAGAAACAAGCTGTGTCTTACAATATGTGCACTTTTCTAGAGGTATATACTTCATTAAAAAGTTAACTTGGGAAAAAAAAGGAAGAGAAAAACAGTCCTGAGATAAATATGCTAATATTTGTAAAGTGCTTAGAAGAGCACCGGGTACACACTGACCACATAAATGTTGGTTAAACAACCATAATAAAAGTCTGAATGGCATAAAGCAGGGCAATAATTCCTAGGGCAAACTTGACCTATAAAATGACCCTTGGAGGAGAGAAAATACTTCTATTTTTTTAGTTTGTCATTCTACTCACATATGCGCTCCCAATCTATGGGAGTTACAAGCTATTCTAGTTCCGGATGGTCAGGCTTGCCTGGAAGGGCTGTTGTGAGGGGTAAATGTGACATGATAATAATAAAGACAACCATTTACTGGGCACTTGTCCCTTACTATGTTCCAGACACCTTGCTAATTGCTTCACACGGTTTGTCTCCTTTAATGATCACCGTAACCCTTTAAAATAGGCGTTATTAGTCCTGTTTGCAGATGAGAAAACCCAAGCTCAGTGAACTCCAGCAAATTAAAATTCACAACCCTGAGCAAGCAGGTAATCATGTTTGTCTGAGCCCAGAGCCCGGGTGCCTAACCATTGGACTACACTACCCCTCACAGACCCCTGTCAAGTCCTGCTGAAGTGACCGCCATGTAACGGGCATTAAATAAAATTTTTTACAATTAGTCCTCTTCTCAATTTGATAATATAAGAACTCTGAAAAGACCATTGAAGAATTTTTCAAATTATTTTTATTTAAAGCATATACAATAAGCAGCTATTTCAAATATGTAGGAAAATAGTATAGAATTATTTGAATCATTTATAGTGATGAGGTTTTATGTCAGTACACTAGCAGATAGAGGTAGGGGTGCGTGTGTGTGTGACCTGCTGCGTTAGTGATTAGCAGGCAAAGAGGGCCAACATCCACAGCCAGGCTCGCTGTTCTTGCCTCCAGGCTGGCTTGCGCGAGCGTCTCGTTTGGGCGCACCTGCGCCGCGCCCGGAAGGGTCAGCCCCTCTCTCTGTAATGCTGGGCCCGCCAGGTTCAGGCGGCTGTGAATCAGCCGATTTCCCTGGCTGCTCTTCCTCCGCCTCAAATGGCCAATTCCCCACCCCGTGGCCGGGGACGCCAGCCGAGGCTGGGAGCCAGGCCAGGGAAAGTTGGCCTGGAGCACCCCCGGTTGTGGTCTGGTTTTACCCACCCTAGAGGAGCCCGTCCCCAGGGCCCGCTGTCTCATGGTTGGCAGACTCGCCCTCCTCCCCGTGACTCTCACCCGAGCAGAGCCCGCTAGATCGTTCCCCTGGGATCCTAGGAACTCGGTACAAGGCCGAGGAGCAGACACCGATAGGGCGAGCGGGAGTGGTGCGGGTGTGCCCAGCTAGGACGCCAGGGCAGGGCAGGTGCGCCAGGACCCGACAGGAGAGGGACGTCTTCCAGCGCTTAAGTGCCAGCTCCTCCCTCCGCGGAGGAGAGGAATCCAGCCTCGGTCCGCGTGCGGGTGCCCGAAGCCCGCGCTGGGCACCGGCGGGGGCGACCTCTGGCGGGCTTTGCCCGCGTAGGCTGAGGGGGCGGAGGGGCTAGTTTATTGGTCAACACTTGGTTTCCACGAACTCGGCGGAGCCAGGGGAAGCGGAGGTGAGAAAGCTCAGCTGCCTCCCAGTTTCGAGTAAAAGTCGCAGGGGTTTTGCCATGACCAGCTTTCTCCCGAGGCGCATTTAAGGCCGCCTGCCTGTCCGTGCCCTCCCTCCCTCCTGCCCTCTCTCCTCCCTGAGTCCCGCCCTCCAGCACACGCCGACCCAGGGACACACCCTATTGCAGCGACGCAGACAGGGCGTTGTTCCCGTTAAAGGGAACGCCGGGAGCCTCCCTCTGGCCGCTAGCTTCGCGCGCGCAGCCCCGCAGCGCAGCTGTGTTTGGGGACGCCAGCAGCCGAGCGCACGCACCGAGTTTGTGCCTGAGGCCACTCTGAGGATCGGGGACAGCAATCCCTTTGGGCTGTAAGTGCTTTGGTAGCGAAGTGGAGGAGATGGAGGAGAAACGTGGGCATCTTCCGTCGACGGTGCCACAAGCGCACAGCAGGCGCGGGCTTTGGGCTGGCCAGGTCTCCGAGCTTTCTGTCCCGAGCGCGGGCAGACGGTCTGTCTCGTATCGTTGCTATCGGGCTCGTGGGGATACAGTGTGGAGTGCCTTATGGTCTGTAAACCGTAAGGGGCGCGGGTGATGTGGTCGGGATAAGGGGCAAGGGCGGAGCAGTTTTCGTCTCGCTGGAGAGGTGCCTACTCGGAGACTCATTGGCAAAGCGGGCCCTGAGGTGGACATCCGGGGGTACTGGACCCCTGTGGTTTCCCCATTGCTAGCCATAGACTCGATCTTCCTTGTCTTGCCCCTACCCGGCACTAGGAGCCCCTGGATTTAATTTAAACCTTCTGGGAGACATCAGAAAACCGTGCTTATTTCTTCCTGAACATTCCAGAGTTTCTTTGAATGTGTTGCTTATGGAGAGGAACGGAAGGGCCTGGGATTGGGTACTTTAAAACCTAGTTACTGAAGCGTTGTCTCTCCGGCTCAAGACTGTCCTGAAATGGTCCCCAAAGACTCAGTTTGTCCTTCACAGCCCTACATATCCTCTGACAGGTCACCCCTGTCTTCAGCTCCCCAAGGTCTATCAAACGAGAGGCTAGGACCGCGCAACTTTGGATAGAAGATGTCCTGCCGCCTCTGATCGGCTACAATTCTCCTGGGACTCACCCTTTACCCTCCGCCTCTCCTTCCCACCGGACATCTGCTCCTCTCCATCCAGGCTCCTGGGCCCGTGTCCCGCAGCGCCGAGGCTGGACTGGGTCGCCCCCCAGCGACCGTGCGTGGGGCCAGCCCGGGAGTGGCCCGGCCCCGCCCGCGGGGGCTGCCTAGGGCAGCGCGCGTGCCGTGGGGAAGCGCCGGGTTCGGGTAACTGTCTCCGGCCGTTCTTTCCTCTCCACACTACCCGGCCGGCTCTGCGCCGTCTCTCCGCAGCCGCCAGTGTCTATGCCAGGCCGAGCTGGGGCCAGGACGGCTCCCCTGCGCTGGCAGAACTGGGTGGAAACTTGGAGACTAACGGAATGCAGAGCGCACTGGGATCTGGGAAACCAGCTCACAGCCGCGCGCTCCCTCACAGCATGCCGCTGGTGTCCCCAGGCCTCTCGCAGAAATCTGGGCGCCTAGCCCCTCTCCCCTGCCTCCACTCCGTAGGGGAACGTGCGCTCCCCCCTTTCTGCCCCCTTCCCCAAGTTGGGCTGTCCCCGGGAGGCGTCTGGGGTGGGTGGAGGCTGCTGTGGCCTCTGCTCGTTATTCTGGAAAAACCTCTCCTCCTGGGGTGACTTAGACGTGCATACCACTTGTTTTGTTCCAAAAGCAAAAGATGTTCTGTCGCAGGCGGGCCCAGCTGATTGCTGGGCGGGGATCCTACGGTCGGCTGCTGCCCTCTCTCGGCCGGCCGCCGGGCGGCGTGGAGGCGCCCCCACCCGGGGAGGCGGGCTGGCGGGCGCAGAGCCAGGCCCGGGCATTCCGCTAGCGCGGGAACCCTCTGCGCGCTCCTCCCTCCCTCGCCAGTTCCATTGGCCTCACGTCCAGCTTCGGCTCTCTCTCCCGGCAGGCAGAAACTCCGCTGAGCAGAACTCGCCGCCAGAATGCTCGTCCTGTTACTGAGTATCATTGTCCTCCACGTCGCTGTGCTGGTGCTGCTGTTCGTGGCCACGATCGTCAGCGTGAGTGCCCAAAGGGCAGCGGGGGCGGTCGGGGCACCCAGTGCTCACCCAGTGCTGGACCTCCGGGGCGGCACTTCCAGCCGTGCTCCGTCTGGTTCAGGACTGTGTGGTTAGTTGCAGACGAGAAGTCTCAGGCATCCCAGGGCGTTCGCAGTTTCTGGCAATCTGCCCCTTTTCGGTTGTTTTGAGAAAAGCAGAGCAGATTCAGGGGTAGGAAGGAAGCAAGCGCTGGACTAGGATAGCTGTGCAGGCCTCTCTTTAAGCCAAATAATGCCAGTGCAGATCCAGGGTCCCCCACCTTCATTTGGTAGGATTGTTTAGCATTTTTTCTTGATGCAGGTTCGTTGAGGAAGGAAGTGGAGTATTTATGGTTTGTTTTTCTCCAAATGTCATAGTTCAGATGGGCAGCTTAGTTCATAAAACACCCTTTAGGACTTGCAATTGGAAAGTTAAAATTGGCTTTTCCGGAAAGGAGTGCACAGTCCCAGGTCTGCTTTGTGATGTGGATAGCACACCTTTTTAGTAGAGCTTCCACTCTGTGAGCAGGTCATCGGGATAACTCGTGTTACAGAACCATCAAACATCAAGCACGTTAGATTTGAAACTCTTTTCTTGAAGATGAGCACAGGCTCAGGCGTTTGGGTGACTGTGGCTTTCACCTCTTAATATGTCAAGTCCTGGGCTTGCTGTTCTTGTCTGTTTCAAAGGTCGAGAAATAATTATGTTAAAGTGAGAAATAACGATGTTGGGGATTTGTGAATTAGTTTATGATTTACAAGCATCTTGATTACATCTTAATTCTACCCAATAATGTTGTCAGGTTGATAGGAATTGTAAGTAAGGACACAGGCTCAGAGAGGCTGTGGGGTGGGGAATGCCACGGCAGGAGATCTGGGCAGGAGAACAGCTTGCGTGCGGGTGGCCTGGTTGAGCCCATGGCTTCTTCTGCTGTAGTACACACCTCTGCATGGAATTGCTTATGTTGTGTGTGGAACTTTTCCATTTACAAAGTGCTTTTCACTTGCAAAACACTGACCCTCCCCTCCACACGCACTGCACGGTGTCTGAGCCACACCGCCACCTCTCTCCTTTCTCTGGCATGACTGGGTCTCTGGCTGTGCAACATCAGGCGGGGGCGGGGGGCAGGCCAGGTAGACGAGTTGGTGAGGCTGCTCTTTGCCTTCCCTTGGTCTTCTCCCTGCCCCTTCCTTCGCTCCTCACTACCTCCCCTGGTTCTTTCTAGCAATGGATCGTGGGCAATGGACATGCGACCGACCTCTGGCAGAACTGTAGCACTACCCCAGGCAACATCCAGCACTGTTTCTCATCATCAGCAAACGGTGAGACTGGCTTTTTGCTCCACAAGCTCGTCCTTATCTGTCTGTGACACGTTTCTCAATCCAGACCTGGAAGCACTTGTTCTTGGAAGACACAAGCTTGAAGGTTGTTGCTGGGGTGGGGTGGAATGTGACAGGAGGCATGAATCCAAGACAAAAGGTAGTTTCCCTGGCTAAGCCTAGATCCTGGGGATCATTGTACATTCTCTCTGCCTAGAAATGCCCTGGGCTCCCTCCTTATCACTTGGTGGAATGCTTCTCATGAGTGAAGACATGTGAACACAGATAAGCAGTAAAGGGGGCGTGATGGCAAAATCTTAGGCAGACTGCATTGGGACTTTTTATCCAACTGGCGTCTTTGCTTGGCGGCTGTCTCTCTCCAGAAATGTCCTGCCTCTTCCTGTTGCAGTGACAGTGGGGCTGTCCCAAGGATAGTTGGGCCAGTTTTTGGTACCCAGGTACAAGACTGCCTTTCCAGATCTTGGGCCTTAGTGGTGCCACTTAGTGTTAAAGAAACCTTTGAGTGTTTCTTTGTGCAAGATGGGGACTTGAAGGTGTTTGCAAAACCCTAAACTGAGCCTGGGAGGGTCCTTCATGCAGAAGATTGTATTTCTCCTCTGTCCTCAGCATCTTCACTTATGAGATAGTGGAAACCAGGCTTACTTGGATTCAAGTCAAGGGATTAATTGGGTGGAGGCACCCACTAGATACCTGCAGCCCCCAGAGGGGAGGAATGCTCAGCAGGGGCCTGTGTCTTTGGATGTGGAGAGGCAGAGGTAGACAGGATGCATCCTTTTTGGTGGCTGGGTGGTATGTAGTGGCAGCATGGACCCTGGATGGGGCCACAGAGCTTGGTGTCAAGGACATAGTGGGTCTGGCTCAGCACGGTCTCGTGTTCCAAAGGATGTGTTCTGGGGTTACAAGACCAATCAAGTACAGCTTTCTCTGTTGCTGCAGCTAGTCAGAGATCCAGTATTTCTGTTGAAGATGCTACACCTGATGAGAGAAACCAATTTAGATCCGGCTCAACAGAGCAGGTGGTGAAGTGGCCCTGAGTTCTGGCTTTGCTCAGTCCGGTTTCTCTGCAGGACTTGGCCTCCTGTGGGCTCTGCACCCAGTAGCACAGAAGCTATCACCGAAGCACTACAAACCAAACATCTTGAACCTCAGTATAAAGAGAAACTGCTAGAATAGTCATTTGGTAGTATAGATGGGGAGGATAGGCAAGGAGTAGAAAAGCCTGCTTTATGTTTCCATCTTCCTGGAGGGCAAAGAAGAAAGGCCCCCGTCCTTACTGAAGTGAGCAGTCCTTAATCTTTTCTCTGCGTGTGTGAAGGATACTGAATTAAAACCATCCTATAAGTTGCGTGGTGAGTTTGCCTGGCGAGTTGGCAACCAAGTAAATGAAATAACTCATGAGTGCCTCTGAATGTGGCGATAGCACTGCTCGTCCCCAGAGCCGCAGCATCCGCTGTCTCCCCCTTCAGGGTCTGGCTGAGGGTCCCTGAAGACGCAGGATGGGAGTCTCCTCGCTCGCCACTGACACCTGGTGGTCACAAGTGGTGACTCAGCCTAAAGGACAGGCTGTCCCTGAGGCCAGGCAGTGTGCGCAGGCGCCCGTCCCAAGCGGCATTTGGCGTTGCGAGGCTGGCATGGGGTCCTGGACTCTTAGGCCGGGAAGGGGGCAGTTTTGGCAGGCATGTTGAAGCCCAGCTGGGTCTCAACAGAAACAGGGCGACAGAGGAGCAGCTATCTAAACTGTGCTCAGACCGTCCGCAGGCAGGAAAGCTGTCTTTGCCTCGTGGCCTGTTGTTGACCTGCGTCCTGCCTCTTACGCGGGTGTGAATAGCATTTATTCCGCGCTAGCAGCAGGTCTCAAAAAGGCACGTGTGTTATTTAAATCAGGAAACTTCTTGTTTCTCAGCTGGCTCTGTGTGCCAAGCTCATCATCTTGGGTTCATTTACGACGATTATGGGATCTTGAGCGAGGCTTCCAGATCCACGTGCTGGCTTTGCGTGGGGATGGGTCCCCAAGGTGCTTCCCTCCACGTCTGCCTTCTTGGCTCCCACACTGAGGGCATTTTGAGGCCATCTGGACACGCTCTTCAACAAGCTGGGTTTGTTTGGGTGTGGGCTTATTTTAAGAAGTTTCCATGTAAGCTTCCCCAGGAGACCTTATCGCTGCAGAGATCTTCTGATGGGTCGGCTTGCGTCACCACTGCAGCTCGGACGGGGGTCAATCCTCAGCGCCCCCTTTACCTTTTCTATTGGGTTTAACGATTTCTGTGACGAACAATAAGTTGAAAAAATACATAATTTTAAAAAATTAGACTGCTTTTATAGATGAACGATATCAGTTGCAAACCATTTACCTTGGTCCGAATTTGCTCTTAGAATGGTTGAAATATACTAATCAAAAGTAATTCCTTGTTGATATCCATTCGTGAAGAATATACTGCAAGTGTGCTTGTGAAGATATGTTGGTTTACATGACTTGCCAGTTTTCTGAAGGAGCTCATTTTTGTACATGTGGGGCCAGGGCACAGCCCCTCTCCAGGCGCCCGTTCACTCTGTTTTCTATACGAATGGTGCCCCTGCCATGTTACCCGCATGGCGGTCAAACATCCATGTTATATAGTTGGAAGGAGGCAGATCAGATCTTACCCCCAAGCTGCCTCTTGATGTTAGAAGTAGTTTGAGATTTCCTGCTAACTGCCCTCAACTCTGCCTACCTTCCCATTTTCTGAATTTATTTGCATACTTTCTGGGGACATCCTGGTCCCGGCTGCAGGTAGAGGGGGAGGAGGCATAGCGTGGTGGGGGCATATTCATCATGACCTTGTCTTGAATGCCTCTCGGCCCGGGGCATACAAAGACCTGGACACTGTGGACCTTGCCCTTGATGGTCCCGAGTCTCTTTGAGGAGTCAGGAGATAAGCGTGGAGGGATGGATCACTGTGAAGGAGTGTAGGCCAAGGTCCAAGGAGTGGGGGCAGGCAGGCAGTGCCAGAATTCAGGGGAGGAAGTGGAAGGGAAGTCTCACGTGGGAGGTGGAATGTGATCCATCCTCTAAAGGATGGGCAGGATTTAAATAAATACAGGCAAGGAGGAGGATATTCCCTGTTAAGGCAATGACATGACCTAAAGCAAGGGGAAAGCAATGCAGAGGCCATGTAGACCAGTCGGCTAGTGTTCCAGTTAGGATTAGGATTGACTGCATATAACAGAACCTTGCACTGCATGAACTAATGCTTCTTGTTTCGAATTCTCCAAATTATCCTCAACTCTGCCACATCTTCAAATGGCAGTGGCTTAAATAGGATAGTTTACTTCTCTCTGTTTTAAAAGAAGTCTGGAAGTAGGCAGCCCAAGATAGGTATGGCAGTTCTATGAAATTGTCAGAGACCCAGGCACTTTCTAGCTCATTCCTTTGCCATCTGTTGGGTTTGGCCCTCATCCTCATGGACCCAAGGGCTGCTAGAGCTCCAGCCCTCTCATCCATGCTTCAAGCAATAGGATGGAGAAGGGAGAAGGAGAAGAATGTGTTCCTCTCCCTTTTAATGAAACATCTCCAGATAGACCACACACTTCTGTGTCTATCTTTTATTGGAACTGGGTCACACAGCCACACCTAGTTACAAGGGAGGCTGAGAATGTAGTCATTTGGCCTCGTGGGAAGCATGGATTCTCAATTCACAGAAATTTAGTAGCAAGCACTTCCCAGTAAGCCTGGCTTGAAACCTTTCTCTCCTGGGCTTTGACCATGCCCTAATTGTGCTCTTTTACAATAGCTCTGCTGGGTCCTAGGCAGTTTCAGAGCAAGGCCCAAGTATTTTATGCTTCTTCAAATATTCCATCTCTACTGTACCCAGGGCTCCGTCAGCAGCACCACTGTCTTACAGTGACCCATATCAGACACTGTAGGGGCCTAGCCTTCTCTCTCTTTCTCTCCCACCTCCCCAGTCATTAACAAAGTCTTGCTGTTTCATGATGTCCTTGAACCTTTGTTTTCTTCCAGTCCAGACCTCTCTTAGAACTCCAGACCCAAGTACCCAGTTCCTACTAGACAGTTCCGCTGGGGTGTCTTAGAGGCACCCCCAAGCCAGTCAGTCTTCATCCTCCTCCACACAGTCTGCACCTTCAACAGTTTCTAGTATTTTAGGGAACGCTGCTCCCCCAGCCAGTGAGCTGCCATGTTCCTTCTCCCCCTTCTCAGAATCGTTGGAGGTCCCACAGGCCCCTGTCGTTCCCTCATCTGTCGCCATGCCCGCAGTCACTGTCAGAGCCACTGCAGCAGCCTCTACCTCCTGACCTTTCAAAAAATACAAACCTAATCATTTTAATCCCAATTTAAAACCTTTCAGAGGCCCCTCACTAGTCTCAATCTTCAGACGAAAAATCTTTACTAAGGTCCCTAGGAATCTACGTGAATGATCTATTCTGTTTCCATGAAGTCTCATCTCCTGTCTCCTCTCCCCTTCATTCTGGAATTTCAGCCTTTTCTTAGTTCCTTGATCGTGAACTTCCACCTCTCGCCCCCTGTTCTCCCTTCCTCTGTTTTTTCATTCAGAACTGTTCGTTGAAAACCTACCAGGTACCAGATATCACTGTAGGCACCAGGATACAAGAGTGAGCAAGAGCTTACATTTTCCTGGGTGAAACAGTCAATAAACATGGATACTTTGGGGCTGTGATAGGAACTACGAAGAGAATAAAACAAGGTAATGTGCAATGAGGGATTGGGGTGGGCAGGAGAGGCCCACTGGAGGAGTGACCCCTTGAGGATGACCAGGAGTCAGCCAGGAACATCTCGGCAGATTCCAGGCAGAGGGACCGTCGGGAGCAAGATTGCTGTGGAGGGAAGGAGCCTGACAGAGCTGAGGAGCAGAGGGCAGCCCAGAATAGTGGGAACAGAGAGAACAAGGGGTAGGGTAGCAGGCCATGCCATAGTCCTTCTAGACCCTGGTACGGAGTGTGATGCATACGGATGCATTTCTAATTTT